CGTACTGAATGGAGCACTGGGTGTTATACGCAAACAATGAATCATGGAACACTACATCAAAAACTAATGATGTAATGTATGTGATTAACATAACATAATAAAGAAAAAAAAAGAATTTAAACAATTAAAAAAAAAAAAAAGAAAGAAAGGGAAACTCAAAGATTTGCCCAGTATCCAAATCTACATTGAAGGTACTCCTAAACTTTTTGCCATTTGTTATATCTATTCATAATAACTACCAGTGATCGTGTGTCCTATATACAGAGGTAGTATTATCTTCATTTTACTGTGAAGGGAATTGATCCTTAGAGAGCTATAGTCAGTCACTCATTCACTTATTTATTCATTTACTAAGTGAATATTTATTAAGCCCTTGTCACATGCTAGGCAATTTCTAGGTACTAGAGATCATATAGTTTGTAAGTAGCAGAACTAGAGTTAGAACTATGACTACAAAACTAGTTCTGCTTTCTCAGTACCATGATTTTTTTTGTTGAGGACCACACATGCTCCCTAACATGCTGCCAGTGGTCATAAGGAAAATTGAGAAACAGACCATTGAAAGACAATGTTAGTCCAGCCCTACTCCAAAATAACACTAACAAGGATACTACTTGTCCTATTTCATCAATGGGACAGGAAGACCTCTGCTCAGGCCCTGAAGGAAGATGGGTTCTTTGCCCATAGTCTTGAAAGAAGAGAAGAATTGCTATATCTCTATGGATTTCTCTGTTGTAGATGTATCGAAAGCAAGCAACAGGAGAGTGCATTCAGGAAATAGCATATATCTGCTATAGGTTTGTTATGGCCTTGGACAGGGAATAAAATAGCATTAAGGAAAATCAAACATTTTAATATTCTCATAAAACCAATATAACATTGTATGGTAACTAACTGGAATTAAAATGAAAACTTAAAAATAAATACTCATAAAGTTTATAGTATAGTCATTTGAAAGCAGCTGAAAGAGAAAAATATCAACTGGGCAAAAAAAGAACTCAGTTTTTTTAGAAAATGAATTACTATCTGCTTCACCAAAGAATTTTTAATGATAGGAGATAATTCTAAATAGTGTATTGAGGTGGCAAAGAGAACAGGCTTTTGAGTCACTCATTTAGTTTCAAATTCTTGTCCCACCACTTACTCAGCCTGACCTTGATTGCACAGGCTACTCCAGCTCTCAAGGCCTCATTTTTCCTTCTCTTTAAAGTCAAAATCCTAATGATACCTTCAAAGAATTGTTGTGCAGGTTAAATGAGGTAATATATATAAAGTGCTTAGCCTAATTACTGGCATATAAACAAATGGTAGTTGTTGCTAGTATTTTTAAGTAGATAATGTTTCTGTAACTTGTAAGAACTTTTGATTCTCATTACTTGGACATTGTTCTTCATAGAGCTGAAAATCTTTCTCATTAACAGATGGTTCCTTCAAATCTACTGTATTTGAAATTTCAACTGCCTATACACTGCTTTACTCTTTCACAGTGAACATATGAAACTTTTCAATGAAAATATGAAAGTATTTTAACAGATACTAGCATAGTAGTCTGTCATTTTTATTAGACTGTAGCTGTTCCTTACTGATTAATTCTAGAATGATTTTCCATTTTATAATAACTTCACTAATGTGAAATTTGGCAATCTCCATGTGTTGCTAGGTAACACAACAGTGGATGAGTTAATGATGAGACTCATGGCTGCAATGGAGATCTTCACGGCCCAACAACAGGAAGATATAAAGGATGAGGTAAGATGAAAGGTTAAGTAGACCTTTAATAGGATTTTGATGAAATAATTTGTCAAAAGGAGACGCTTGCCTATGTCATGATTGATAAATGAGTATGATGAAGATGGATTTCCAGATTAACCAAGGACTTTTATGCCATTGAGTTTACCTTTCAGTCCATTCTTTTCATGACCCCAAGACCCAACAATTTGTTTAACTTTATGGACATTTATACTTGTTAGATTTGGAGTGGTGGCAGGAGGTCGATTTGCAGGAAATGAATTCTGAAGCATATTTACAAAAGAAATGACAGTCCAGGAAATCCTGTGCACTATGTGGTTTTTTCACTCACTTTCAGGATCCTTTTACTCTTTTAAATATTGAGGTTGATTAGCAATAAACACATTTTACATTTTTGAAGCACTGTGAGAATTAGTAAAAGATCTCCAGAATTCTGAATTTCTCAGTCTCCTGAATATATTCAGTTGGTATAGATGGCATGAGTGTGGAACCTCAAATAAAATAATAATAACAGCAATATTGATCATGACAATAGTACTCAACTCTTACTGAATATTTATAATGTGCGAAGCACTGAGCTAAGCACTTTACATATATTATCTCATGTGATCTCAAAACAACCCCATGAGGTTGTATATGAGTCACACAGTTCTGGCAGAAAACACATGGCACTTTCAAACTGGTTTATATGAGAGCAATTTAACAAGAGAACTGTGTATAAAGGTAAGGGCAGGGTTTATGGAAGTCAGCAGTGGATAGTACCCACTCTAGGGCTAAAGGGAGCCATTACCACCTGTAGGCCTAAAGGCCTTGGAGAGGGTGGTATATCGAGAGGACTATATCTGATAGAGGAATATAGCCAGTGCTTGGTGACCTGTTAGGGAGGAAACCAGGGAATAGCTTTATTTTCCTTCCATACTCTGATCTTCTGCTAATATTACCTACCTAACCTGTATGCTCAAAGGTGAGAGAACCTCCCTGGGCAAAAAGCTAGGATGGATACTGAGGGGCAAATGGGAGATAGTCTAGCACAGATTGGTACTATATTATCTCCACTTTTCAGGTGAGAAAACAGAATCAAAAGGGTTAGGGGCGCCCGGTTGGCTCAGTGGTTAAACGTCTGCCTTTGGCTCAGGTCATGATCCCCCAGGGTCCTGGGGATCTAGCCCCGCATCGGGCTCCCTGCTCCACAGGAAGCCTGCTTCTCCCTCTCTCACTCCCCCTGCTTGTGTTCCCTCTCTCGCTGTGTCTCTCTCTGTCAAATAAATAAATAAAATCTTTAAAAAAAAGGGGTAGTTAAGTTAATTTACCCAAGATCGCACAACTAGTAGGACCTATAATAATCTCAAGTAACTATTAGTGCTCTATCAGTCAAAAAATTTCCGGATTTGGAGACTAGCCTAAAGATAAAATATGAAACACATGTTAGCATTTGTTAATTTAAGATGCTCAGTTCACAGGTATTTCTTAAATTGTCCTTCCTAATATTTTTAACTGAAAGAAATCTTTCATGGACAAGTAGGGAGAGTTTGATTTCTGAGCAATGATGAAAAGTTTCCAGCTATAGTGAGTGTTTTCACTATAATACCCATTGGCTATTGCAAGTGGAAAACATGTAGACAATTTTAATATAAGGTAGAACCACTGTATTTTACCTTACTTGCTTGTCTCTTTCTTCTGTTAGACTGAGTTTAAGAGCCAGAGTTGTATCATATTCACATTTATAACTGTATCCTCCAACAGTGTACCTAGGACAAAGTAGCTACTCAGTAAATTTTTATTAAATGACTGAATAAATTAATACTTGGGAAGAATTCATATGAAATAATGTTACTTGAAAAAAATAATTCTTGATTGCAGTGGTGTAAAACCTGATGTGTCCATATTAACAAATATGAAAACTTAGAGTGCTGTAACTAGTTTAGAGTTTTATACACATTAGGTTTCTTTTATTGCGGGAAAAATGATGTTTGTAATTTTCCTTAATAGTCAGTGTTTCATTTACTCAAAGAAAAGGTAATCAGGTATATGGTGGAAAGATGTTTATCTGTTACTCTATAAATTGACAGTGACATTTTGAAATAATGAAGTACTGTACTTACTTAGGAATTTGTAATAATAGGTGTGTTGCCATTCAAGATTACGTTTATCCTGGAATAGAGGCATTGATTGACAATAATTCACTAAACACATTCTTCAGCCATTTAAATCTTGAGTCTCATTAGTACTAGATTTACAGATTATGCTGTATAATAATATGAATGCACAATATTTGCATGCATATTCCCAGTTCATTCTTTCATCTTAATTTGTGTTCCTCGTAATTCATTGGTAAAGAAATTGACTTTAATTCCTTTAATACTGAGCACAAAATTTAATATGAGGGTTACAGGGAAAATCCAAGGCTCCATATTAATTGAAATTTTTATTGAAATTTAACTGCAAGAGGTAAGGATTTCTCTTTGTTTTTAGAGTGTCTTCATGAAAGTTATCATTCAGTGCATAAGTAGAGTTCCTAAGAAAAGCCTTTCTAGGTTCAAAGACTTGTTTTGGACTATGCGTAGATCCTAATGGATTTGGTATCTGCTGAGTATGTGACAAGAAACACTGTCCCTTGTAATTGTGAATTTGCCTTTACTCTTAAAAAAAATTTCCAGTAACACTTTACCTGAAGCTTGCAATGAAAATCAAATTCATAAACAGGTTTGGAGAATGGCTTCTGAGGCCTGAATTTATATAAACTTAACTTTGGTTCAGTTACATCCATCACTTCAGTGATTCCATTGTATTAGTGCAACCAGGGATACCTATACTATACAGCGTTTTTATTAAATAGAACCAAGCCCAAACATTATATTCTGAATGATTCTTTAATAGCCCAGAATGGACTAACCTTTATATCACTAATTATTTTATTTCTAATCAGGAAGTATACATTACATGAGCCTCTTGTTTTTGATAGAACTGCCAATATAGCTTTATTCACAGACATTTTCATTAGTGGTATTAGTTTGGTTTTTTAAATGTTAACTGAGCATCTATCAAGTATATAGCACTGGGCTCAGTCTTGGGGACAGAGGTACTTTGCCACAATGTAGGCTTATTGGCAAATATCACTACATGATGGTAGCCTGTTTAGAATCAGAACATGTAGACTCTATTTAGAATCAGAACATTTAGAATCTGTTTATGCTTACAGCCTGGTTCCAAACAGTAGATACTTTCTAACATGTAAATAGATTCAGTTATTTTCATATGCCCTATTTTCTTTTGCCGTTAGTAATCCAGAAACCTCTGATTACTAAGAGTTTATGATACTTAGTTCCTAATCTGTTTATTATTTCATTCATTTCTTTGTTCATCCATTCAACACTTAACTTATTTAGAATCCTCAGTATCATAGGTGCAAGGATTACTTCTTTCCAGATTTTCTATTTCTTCCTGATTTAGTCTTGTTAGGTTGTATGTTTCAAGGAATTGATCCATTTCTTCTTAAATGATCTAATGTATTTGCATATTGGCATATAATGGTTCATAGTAGTCTCTTACAATCCTTTGTATTTCTGTGCTATGAATTGTAATATCTCCTCTTTCATTTCTGATTTTATTTATTTGAGCCCTCTTTTTTTTCTTGGTCAGTCTAGCGAAAGGCTTGTTAATTTTATCTTTTTTAAAAAATCAGCTCTTAGTTTCATTGATCTTTTCTTCTTTTTGAAATATAATTAACATAAAATGTATTAGTTTCAGGTATACAACATTGATTCAATAATTCTATATATTATTCAGTGTTCACCATGATAAATGTAGTCACACTGATCTTTTCTATTGTCTTTTAATCTCCATTTCTTTCTGCTCTGATATTTGTCATTTTTTCCCTTCTGCTAACTTTGGGCTTTGTTCTTTTTCTAGTTCCTTGAGATGTAAAGTTAGATTGTTTATTTGAGATCTTTCTTCTTTCTTGATGTAGGCATTTATCACTATGAGTTTCTTGCTTATAATTTCATTGGCAGTGTCCCATAGGTTTTGGTACATTGTATTTCCATTTTCATTTGTCATAAGGTATTTTTTTATTTCTTCTTTGATTTCTTCTTCAACCCGCTGGTTGTTCAGCATCGTGTTGTTTAAGCTCCACATATTTGTGAATATTCCAGTTGTCTTCTTGTAATTGATTTCTAGTTTCATACCATTTTGGTTGGAAAAAGATTGATATGATTTCAGTCTTCTTAAATTTATTAAGATGTTTTTTTGTGTGCCCTAACATATGGTTTATGTTATGGACAGTGTTCCATGTGTGCTTGAGACAAATGTGTATTCTGTTGCTTTGGGTAAAATGTTCTGTATATGTTTGTTAAGTCCACTCTGTCCAGCACATCATTTTATTCAAATGTTTCCTCATTGATTTTCTGTCTGGATGATATATCCATTGATGAAATTGGGGTATTAAAGTCCCCTACTATTATTGTATTGCTGTCTCTTTCTCCCTTTTAGGTCTGTTAATATTTGTTTTCTATATTTAGGTACTCCTATGTTGGGTGCATAAATATTTTAAAAAGGATTCTTTATCCAGTGTTTTTTCTCCATAGTTAGTCCCAGATCACAGAAGATAATAATTTCTCTCATCTTGATTTGTATATTCATTTCATAAATATTTATTGATCTTTTCCTACGTACTAGACACTATGTAAAGCACCAGTACCACAGCTATGTGCAAGATAGATAGGGCCATTGAGCTTACAACACAGCAGTTCCAATATAGTCTATGAAGTAACCAAGTAGATAAAGCCCTGGGAGCACCTAGTCAGAGTGAGCTAGACATGCTGTGTAGGCAACTTGACATAGAGCACACAGAAGGGCTCTCACATTCTCCAGGGCCAGCTATGAGGTAGGTAGAACAGGTGAGAATGAAGATAATAATGACAGCCACTCTTCAGGTTCCTGCTACATGCCAGCCATAGGTATTTCTCAGTGTGATTCCTAGACTACCAGAATACTTAGCTACC